AAGTCTGCACCCACAAGCCAAGAGTCCCCGAAACCGTGCACGCAACTGCCGATGGAGGCCAAGATAGTTCGGTTCCTCTGAGACAACCCCTCGCTGTCCCCGAAGTACGCGCTAACCATCAACGTGGGAGAACCCCCAGAAACCTCCACAACACCAGCCACAGCACGTCCAGGAAAAAGCTCAGCACCAAAATCGGGGAGACGAAAGCCGAGATAGTTACGGACCAGGATGGCGACCCCTCCACTAGCTCCACCCCCAGAAGCGAACTCCGCCTTCAAAAACTTGCTCTTCCAGCCTTGATGGTAGCACCACTGGGATGCCTCATCGCAGTCGGGACCTGAAAGAAGACGATGCTCCTGAACCAGAAGGACCTGCGCCGAGGATCTCTGGACCCAGGACTTTATCGAGGACCAGGCCGTGCAATTGACTGTCTCGACCATCAGCTGGTGATGTGCTGCTGGGCCGGCTGGGGGGCCTGTATAGTTGGCGGGATCTGCGCCCTCTGGAAACTTACATGGGTGCCGCCCGGCCCCTCGAAGCACATGCTTGGGAACCTGGGATCCCACTTTAACGTCAGTTCTCGAGGCGCTGACAGCAGAAAAACCGGCAGAGGGTGCGCATGCACCGTGGGCGGCCGCTGCCCTCGTCGGCCGAGGCTCCGACCCCGCCTGCTGAGGCGAAAAACTGGAGCCAGACAGGTGCCCAGCAGAGGCGGCGGAACCACCGACGCAGATGAAGTATGGGGCCCCGTGTTGACCGCTGGCAGCCGGCGACTTCAGAGGAGGAGGGAAAGCAGGGAGGGGAGGGGGGGGGGCGGTAAAGGCGCCGAAACCTGGTACAGTCCTGGAGGAACGGTTTATGCCAGGAATTGCCCTTGCGGTCTGCAGGGCCGACGGGGGGCGCACCGTCAGACCAGGGGGGGAATTTGGCACCTCTGGGGTAAGGCACAGATAAAACAGATGTCCAGCGCCTGCAGGTGTGGCTCTCAGAGGCCGCGCCCAGGAGGGGGCTTTCCCCCAATGCCGATAAAAAGTTAGCATCCTGGCAAATGCCAGGACGCGGCACGCTGCTGGCTGAAAAACTGGCGGCGCTCATCTGCTTGACAGGCACATGGGCTAAATGCTGATGTGCACTCCATGGGTGAATCCCCTCCCCGGCCGCAAAAAGGGCCCCCCGCAGCACACTCGAGCAAAAAGCCTGCGCCGCAGCTGCAGCGGTTGGTAAATAGAAGCTTCTGCTGCTGAGATGCTGGCACAAGTCAATCAAACGATCGGGCTGCCAGCTGCCCGCAACTCCCGCCGCGGGGGGGCGGTGATTGGACAAAACGGCCTCGGCGCGCTTGCGAACATCGTCCGCAGGTGCGGCTGCCGGGCCCGAAGCTGATGGAGGAGGCTTCCTGGCCGCCTCAGCCCCTTCAGCGCTGGTAGCCGGTGGAGGCGATGCCTCTGCGCCGGAGCCGTCAGCGCCGCCTGGGGCCGCAGAGGGAACTCCTCCAGCCTCCCCCATGCGCCGCTTCTTGGCCACCAGCCTGCGCATGTGCTCCTCGTGTGCCATGCGCGCCTCCGCCGCCTGCTTGACCAGCGGGCCCAGGAGCTCCTGGGCTGCTCGCTGGATGTGGTCGCCAAGCTGCTGCTTCCTCGCATTGATCTCTTCCATGTCGCTGGAATCGAGCTCCTGCTCCACCGACACGTCGGCCACCAGCTCGTCCAGGTTGATGAGGTCCGCCAGGTTGAAGCTGTCTCCGACCAGCTCGCTGAGCTTGAGCTGCGGCTTCGGAGACCCCGCAGAGTGCTCCGGGACCTCTGGCTTAGGCGGAGCAGCCTGAGCCTGCAGCTACTGCACGTTTGACTTGTAGACCTTATCGGCAGCCTCCAGATCTTCGCGAATAGATTCCACGAAACGGACCTGGTCTGCGACGTCTTGCTGCCACTGCTCCAGCTTCGTGAGCGCTGAAGAGAGCTTCTCCTCCAAGAACTGTATATGCGCGTGGCTCTGCTGGATCCGCTGGTGCACAGGAACCTCAACCGGGTGCTTCTCGGCGTAGAGGCGGTCGGCCAGATTCTTGTACCGGGTGGCGCTGGTGGCGTCGCCCGCCTTGAGCGACAGGGCAGCCAGCTGCCGCGCCTCTTCCTCCGACAGCTGAAGTTGAGCTCCCACTGCGAGCGGCTGGGGAGGTCCGCTTCCCTTGCCTGCTCCAAGCACCGGCATTGGAGCTCCTTTACCTCCAGCTTTGCCTGCACCATCACCGCCAGGCACCTGCCCAGGAAGAGCAAACACACCAGGAGGAGGAAACGAAGCCCAAGCACCCCTCGCGAAGGGGGATCCTGGACGCGCACTTGTTGAAGTCCCGCGCCGCAGTGCTTGCATGACCTCGCCTTGACATCATTCTTGTTGCATCCACAATGGCAACATTTGAGCGTGGGGCCGCCCGGGCCTCCGCCGCCCTTCTTCTTATTCCGCTTGGAGCCTCCCGCACCGCCAGGAGAGCCCCACTCGCCCATGTACGTGTAGTCACCGCTTTTCCACCAGGGACGCCACGCCTCGCCTGAGCCATGGCCCTGCTGGGGGGACATGCTGTGGAGAACGAACTACGCCTACCGAGCCTTGGCCCGTTGACGCAGCGCCGCTCTGAAGTTCGCGCCAACAATCGCAGGCTGACTGACAGAAAACCTGCGCCAGAACGGCTAAGGAGGACGAGGAGGAGGAGCAGGAGGAGGAGGAGGACGAGGAGGAGGAGGAGGAGGAGGAGGAGGAGGAGGAGGAGGAGGGGGGAGAGTCAGAGAAGGAGGGGGGGGAGGAGGAGGAGGAGGAGGAGGAGGAGGAGGAGGAAGAAGAGGAGGAAGAGGATGAGGATGAGGAGGATGATGAGAGAGGGGAAGGAGTGGTGGCAGTAGCAGTTGCAGTAGCAGAAATGGTGAAAACCAGTGGCAGCATTTTAGTAATAGTGGTAGTAACATGGGCAAGAGTGAGCAACACGCGGGGCAACATGGTGGGAAACCCACGACACATTCGCGTCGTGTCGACCCCAGCGTTGGTTCTGGACACCGCGGGGGCCCCCAAGCTTGTACGATCGGCCGTTTCAGAAACGCCAAATCGTTCAACGATGGTTGGGCCGATTCTGGGCCACGGGCGGCGTTCAACGCCCGCGCTGGGGTCGCCGCTGGTCGACACGACGCGAACCTACCGGTCGCGGGGCCCCGCGGCAGCGGACAACAAAACACACCACCGCCGACGGGGGACGCGGGACCCACCGCCGACGACGGGGGACCTTGGGCGTCGCTTATTGTGAGGGCGGTACATGGGGTGCAAGAAAGGTGCACTTTTCGGGCCCTACAGGCCCCCCCTTTTGGATCCTGAGGGGCCCTCAAGGGCTCCCTTTCTGCAGCCCTCGCTGCCCCCCCATTTGTCGCCCCCCTCATTACCCATTACGCGACGCCTGAAGTCGAGGAGACGTCGGGTTCCGGGGACTCGGGTCCTGACGTGCGGGCGCCGAGAATGTACACCACCACCACCACCACCACCACCACCATCACCACCTTCGTTCCCCCCCTCCCCTCCTCCAGTCCCTTCTTCTTCTCCTTTTCCCTTCTTTCGTGGAAAATGGAGGGGGTGAGGGAGGCGGTGGTGGTGCATATCCGTCGGCTCCCTTGTGGGGCCACCAGGCTGCATGACGAGGTTGCTGCTCCCTGCGCCAGCTGCCTGCAATTTCAAGTCTCCAACGTTACAGTCCTGCTTTCCGCTTCCTACTGTAATTTGCTGGAGTCCGCGCGAGGGGAGGGACCCCCAAACCAGCAATTTACCACGCCCAAATCGCGCTGCCTGAATTCCTGGGGGGGGGCGTGGGACACGTAAAAATACGGGAGACTCGCGCCCCCGAGGCCATAATCCCTCGTCGGTTACAATGTTCGTCCCCGAGGCCACAAACCCTCGTAAATTGTGCAATGTTTGCGTCCCCGAGGCAGCAAACCCACATACAATACGCCATATTCGCGCCCTCGAAGCCATAACCCTGTATGAATTAAAGTTATTCGCGTCCCCGAGGCCACAAACCCTCGCAAATCATTCAGTTCTTGCGTCCCCGAGGCGACACACCCTACGCAGTAAATTACGCAATGTTCGCGTCCACGAGGCCATGAACCCTCGCAAATTACGCCAGATTCGCATTGCCGAAGCCAAGAATGCTCCAAGGCGCCCGAAGATGGCTCCAAGACGGCCCAAGAGGGCCCCAAGAGGCCCCAAAAGCACTCCAAGAGGCCTCCCGAGAAAGCCCCGAGTGGCCAACATCGTCGAGTTTACTAAGGTTTTTGAATCATGTTGGCCTTCTCGCATTTTCGGCTTTCCGACGCTGTAAGATGGCTCAATAAGCTCCCAAGACCGCCTCAAGACAGCCCAAGACATGAGCCAGTCTCCTGGGAAGAACGCTGCCCACGCAATGCGCCCCAAAGGCGAGCGGACAAACACGAGAGGGACGCGCGAGGCTCACGAGAGGGGCACATGAGGGACACTGGCCCAGGACACCTGTAATGACGGACCTACGTACCCAAAGCTTGCCACTACAACCCTGTGTGCAAGCCTAGATGGGGAACAACTCGCCCCCTGCTCACACCGACACACACAGACACACACACCATCGATTCTTTGCAGCGATTGCACATACCACGCCTACGGCAATCCCCCCATGGCCCAACCGTCAGACCGCGCTCACGTTCCCTTCGACGCCCGAAATTGGGACGGCATCCTTGGGGGCGACGCCAACAGTAGAGACTCCGACTGATGTTTGAGCAGACGAGTTTCGTCATCGAATTGACACCTCTCGCCTCTAAATTGCTCGCAGATCGACGGAAAAGGTGCTTGTCAGGCATCGTCCCCGTCCCTGCCGTCCCTCCTTGCGGCCCCTGATTGAAGGCGCAGGGAGGGGGGACCGAGGTCCAATCAGAGCAACAGCAACAAGAACGCGGGCATCCTCCTGGCCATTCCCCCCGAGGCGGTGCTAAGCTTACCACTATGCTCATGAAGCAATCACGCGTGACGCTGTGGTAGGAGATCGCCGTGTTGACAGCTTTGCGGACAACGACGGCGTCGTGCAGGCGGAGAATGGTGCGGTCTGCGCGGCAACTCTTCTCGAGGCTGGGGTGGGGGAGCAGGAACGTAGCGTGGAGGATGGAGGGGGGGCCGAGGGGTAGGATTGAAGTACTCGAGGGAAGAGCACGTGGTGTGGTGCAGTCGAGACAGAAGGACGACAGGGAAACATCGGCAAGGACACGAGGGGAAGAGAGGAGGAAGGTCGGAAGAAGAGGTAGGGAGGGAAGCGGCAAACATTGCAGGTGTCTTGTGAGCCCATGGGCGGCGTGAAGCTTCTCGCAGGCCAACCTTCGCACGGACTGAGCCCCGTTTGGAAAAAAAACACGGCGATGAGGCGAGAGCCTCGCTGTGAAAGCCAACCCCTCCATCTGTTGCAAACGTTGAGGACGAATGTCCGGAGCGCTAACGCGACAGCCCCAATTTCAAAACGATATGTGCCCCTTCCTGGTATCGACAGCATTTGGTGCAAACGGTTGTGCGCGGCTCTAGGGCAAGCGCCCCATGTTCACCCTCCCTCCTCAATCCTTGTAGCTGCTGCAAACATGTACGACGAACGTTCGCGGCGCAAGCGGGAACTCCATGTGGAAAGCGACACCCTTCTACCCGTGCAGCTGTTTCACATGTCGAGCTTCACTCTCATATTTTAGCCAACGTGAACCCAAACAATGAGTTCGCGCGCTGAGGAGGTAAACTATATGTGATGAACGCAAATGGATTGTAAACTCTACGATGTGAACCTTGCCGTTTAAGCTATGTAATGCAAGCCATGTTGCGCAAGCTATGCAGCATACGGTATGGTGCGCAAGCCTACGGTGCATGCGATGCTGTCCAAGCTATGAGGTGTGAGCTACGTGACCTAAGCTAGGGTATGCAATGGATGTGATGCGAGCGACGTGGTGCCGACTAAGAAATGCAAGCTGTGCTGTGTAAGCCATGTGGTGTCAGCTACTTGGAAAAGGCTGTGGGTCGTAAGCTGTGCAGTGCAAGCCGTGTAAGGGGTCAGAACTGTTGGTGCGAGCTATGTGGTGTAACCGCACGGGGCGCCCACGGGCGGGCACAGGCGCCAAGGCGGCGAATCCGCGGGAAAAAAACACCCAGCGCACGGGGCGCCCACGAGGCGACTGCGAGCTGGCGCGGGCGCCAACGCGGCGAATCCTCGGGAGGCAAATCCTCGGGAAACCAACCCAGCGCACGGGGCGCCCACGAGGCGCCAAGGTGGCGAAAACCAAGGAAGCTCATCGTACGAAAGCCAAGTAGAGTCAACGCGAATAATAAGGATGCACGATAAAGATGCAAAGGGCCTTGGAAGGTCATGTCGACACTTTTCAAGCGGGGCGCGGCCAGTAAACGTGCGAAGGATGGGCCGAAGGGGAAGGATACAAGAGGAACCTTGGAAAGTCGCTCATCCTCACTATGCGGGTTCACTGTAAGAACCCCTGAGTGCAAGCACTGCTTCGGGACAACGGTGAGGAAGTCTCAGGCGAAATGCCCATCCCGTCCTGCCGACAAGTTTGTTGGTGCGACAAGGGTGAGTTATGTATAAATGAAAAGAAGATGGACGAGGAACTGGGGTCGTGGGGGGAAGGAAGGGGGCAAGGAAGAGTGCTCGACCTTGCTCGACCTCTCTCACTCCCGAAGGACATCGTTAGGGGGGACCCGCTCATGGAGGGTGGAACATCGGGCTGGAATCGGCGATACATCGCCGACAAATCGGAGATAGGCCCCCGATGTCAGATCCGCACGCTCCTGGGTGGGGTTGGCTATCATGCCTATATCGGCGATCAGTGTGCGATTTGGGACTGAGATCCGGCGGCTCTGGAGGATGCCTCGAGCGCCGCGGCCTACTCAGAGCGTGACGGAATTCTGGAACGAATTGATCCTCCTCCTAGCTCCGTCCGAAGCACACTGCTCGCGCTCCGTTGCGAATTGACCTCCCCGGCGAGCCAGGCCCCCGCTTCTTCCACTTCCTCCCCCGCCGCCGCCCTTCCGCGTGACCTAAACGCCCATTGGGGGTAGGAAGAGCGACCAAGTCTCGTCGGCTTTGCCTGCGTTGGTTATTGCACACAATGTTTCACACGATGCCATTCAGCTTCATTCGCTTGCCGCCCTCCCACTATCATGCCCTGGCCTTTCGTGGCGGGGCAGCCACCAGCGCAGCGCTCCCGTCCCCACATCCCTTCTCAAACACAAGCCAGTCCCAACCCTGCCGCCCACCTCTCCAGAGGCCGCCCTCCGCCTCGATCCTGCGGGCACTCTGTTTGAAGAGCGAGCGATAACCTGTGAAGCCCCCGTTTGGAGGTGGGGCAGGGTAGCCTTTTATCCAGCGTGACAAGAGAAGGTAGCCGAACGGCCGCCACTCCTGTCATTTTTTCCTCCGCCGGCGCCGACTTTGAGCGCTCCGCGGAGGAAATCGTTCCAACCGTGGTCGCCTTTATGCGGGGGGGACGACCTACCTCAAGCATGCCGGGCGCCGCTGGGGGCCGCCTCACGCAGGTGGGTTACACGTGGTATAGCACCGCACAATAATCCAACTCCCAGTTGCCGGTCCACTGGTTGTCTTTTAGGGAGTGAGGCTTAGGTTGTTCCGATTCCGTCTTCCGTCTTCGTTGTAGGCCGCGGGGCATCAGGTTGGCGTTCGCGGGGCAGGGGGAGCCGAAAAGGGGGATTATCTACATCAGTTGTCATTACTTCCATAATGAGAGGCCCCAAGAGCGCTTCGACAGCGCCCCAAGAGCGCCTCAAAAGCGCGCAACGAATTTCTACAATTTTGTCGAAATCCGTTGCCGACCCCCGCTCGCCCAAAACAGGCCCAAGACACCGCCTGAAAAGCTCCGAGAGCGCTCCGACAGCGCCCCAAGACCGCCTCAAACCCGCGCAACGAATTTCTACAATTTTGTCGAAATCCGTTGCCGACCCCCGCTCGCCCAAAATAAGCCTAAGACACCTCCTGAGAGGCTCCAAGAGCCTTCCGACAAGGCCCCAAGAGCGCCTCAAAGCCGCGCAACGGATGTCGACAATTGTGTCGAAATCCGTTGCTGACCCCCGCTCGCCCAAAACAAGCCCAAGACACCGAATTGGCGTTAGCCAGGACTGCTGCGCGACTGGTGCTAGCCAGGACCAAGGTCCCTTGGCAGGGGACGGGGTGCCAAGCATTCTGAGGCACCGCGGGACTGGCTTCTCGTCCTCCCTCTTCCTCCTCCTCCCCCCGTCCTTGCTTGGCCGCTCCTCCGCCCAAGCCCCACTTGGCCCGCTCCACTGCCTCCTCACTCCCCTCTCTAGGCCCTTGGGAATTCTGCCACGACTGCGGGCTAAGGCTATGCGCAGCACGCGTGCCCACCTAGCTCGCGATCCGTTGTTTCGGCCAGCCCGACTCAACATTCACGGCGGGATTCCCGGTACCCGCAGAGCCGCTCTTGTTTAGGCTAGGGCCGGCATCCGTGGAACTCTGCCAGGGCTGTGGGCTAGGGCTATGCGCCGCATGCCCAACTAGCCTGCGGCCCGTTGTTTCGGCCAGACCGACTCAACAAACAGGGCTGGAGCTCCAGGATTACAGGCCGCGCGATGTTACGCGATGTCCCAAGAATTCTGCTAGGATTATGGGCTAAGGCTTCGCATGGCATACCCAACTAGCTCGCGGTCCGTTGTTTCGGCCAACCCGATTCAACATTACAGCATGGTTCTTGGCATCCGCACCGCCGCGCTTGTTTAGACTAGATCGTTGCGCGCAGCTCCACTCCATTTTCCCTCATCGTGTCCACGTGGGGACTTCGCCCGGCTCGTCCTCATTCGATCCTCGTCCTCCCTCCTCCTCCTCCTCCTCCTCCTCCTCCTGCCCCCATCCTTGCTTGGCCGCTCTCCGCCCAAACCCCAGTTGGCCGTTCCACTGCTTTCGTGAAGCCCCAGCAATGCCAAGATTATTCCCCACATCCAAAGTGGGGTTCTTGCTTTCTCTTGACACCCCGCGCAGGAAGAGGAACACCCACTCGCTCACTCACTAACACTCACTCACCCACTCACTCAGACACTCACGCACTCACTCACTCAATCACTCACTCAGTACCATCAGCATCGTCATTGTCAACACCGCGTCACCAGCACTCGTCATCATCAGCACTCATCATCATCACCAATCATCATCATCACCATCATCATGTTCACCATCACCAACACCATCAGCCATCGATCATTCACCATCAGCATCATCACCAGCACACATCACCATCAACAACACTATCGCCACTCACTCAGTTATCATTTCCTGGCCACTCACGTGAATCCTCTTGACAAACCTGTACCAGTCGTCATGTTTGGCCCTATCGGCCTGAATATGGGGGGAATATGAAGCGGGAGTCTCGTTTGTGAATTGCGATGAAGTCTCAAGCGGGAGCCCCCTCCCTATGGGGCCCGCAGATCACGTTACTAATCCGAGCGGGCCATTCGAATCCTGTAGCTGTCGTCACTTTTGGCCTCCTCGTGCCTGAATATGGGGGCAGTTTTGGTCGGGAGCCTTGTTTGTGAGTGAATCGCGGGGAAGTCTAAGGCGGGGGTCCCCTCCCTATGGGGCCCGCAGATCTCGGTGGAGCTCCCTATGGGGCCACGACGCGCTGTACTGGGTGGGTGAAAAATGACAAATTGGGTTTCGGGACGCACGCGGACGGTCCGACTGGGGGCTTCGGTGGAGCTCCCTATGCGGCCACGAAACGCTGTATTGGGTTCGCGAAGATGCAAAATTGGGTTTCCAGGACGCATGCGGAAGGTCCCACTGGGGGCTTCGGTGGAGCTCCCTATGGGGCCACGAAGCGTTGTAGTGGGTGAGTGGGAATGCCAAATGTGGTTTCCGGGACGCATGCGGACGGTCCCTCTGGGGGTTTCGGTGGAGATCCCTATGGGGCCACGAAGCGCTGTACTGGGTGGGTGGAAATAACATCCCTATGGGGCCACGAAGCGCTGTACTGGGTGGGTGAAAATGCCAAATTGGGTTTTCGGGACGCATGCGGACGGTCCCATTGGAGGCTTCGGTGGAGCTCACGAAGCACTGTACTTGGTAGGTGACAGTGCCAAATTGGGTGTCCGGGACGCCTGCGGACGGTCCCACTGGGGGGTTCTGTGGAGCTCCCCATGGGCCCCATGGGGAGCTCCCCATTACAGCGCTTCGTGGCCCCATGGCATAGGGCCACGAAGCGCTGTACTGGGTGGGTGAAAATGCCAGATTGAGATTCCGGGACGCATGCGGACGGTCCCTCTGGGGGCTTCGGTGGAGCTCCCTATGGGGCCACGAAGCGTTGTAGTGGGTGAGTGGGAATGCCAAATGTGGTTTCCGGGACGCATGCGGACGGTCCCTCTGGGGGTTTCGGTGGAGATCCCTATGGGGCCACGAAGCGCTGTACTGGGTGGGTAAAAATGCCAAACTAGGCTTCCGGGACGCATGCGGACGGTGGCACTGGGGGCTTCGGTGGAGCTCCCTATGGGGCCACGGAGCGCTGTACTGGGTGGGGGGTGGAAATACCAAGTTGGTCTTTCGGGACGCATGCGGACGGTGGCACTGGGGGCTTCGTTGGAGCTCAATATGGGGCCACGAAACGCTGTACTGGGTGGGTGAACACAGGGAGGAGCGAGGAGGAATAGGGGGGAAGGAGGGAGGAGAAACACAAGGACCGTCTCTTCAAAACGAGGACCCAACACCACAGGATGGTTGGGAATTGTAGCTCTCGCCGTCTGAAGAGTTTTCAGCAGTTGCATTGATACGCGGTGTTCAAGTCCCAGGAATGGCCTTCTGGCGCGATTCAGGATCGCAGGGCGCAACAGTAACGTTGATTCGCAGCGTTGAAGTCCCAGGCGTGGTGTCCTGGCACGGTTCAGGATTCCCAGACGGCTGTCAGTGAAAAGGAATACTTGTGGGGACCTGTGAAGAGGGAATTCGGAGGAAAGATTTACTGCAACATCGTTGATGAGTCTTGGGGTTGCACTGGTCCTCCTCCTCCTCCTCCTTGGTCTTCGAATGCCTCGGGATGTCCCGAGGTTCTGAAAAATGATACAAAAACGCCCTCGAACCTCAAGGCCCGCTGTTCTCCATCGGAATCTCCTCCGCTCCGCAGGTGTGCCTGCAGAGATCCCCCCCGAGCCCTCCAGAGGCCCCGCAAGGGCCCGAAGACGTCCAACAACTCTGGCATCTGAGGGCCTTCGGCCCCCCAGGACAAAGATAACATCGGGTGTTAATAATTCGAGAATATCAGAGATCCAGCCGCTCTGGAGCACGTCTCGGGCGCCGCGGCCTTCTCAGAGCGTTCCAGAACGCTCCTGAGAGCGTTTCGGAACGCTCTGGAACGGATTTATCCTCGTCCTAGCCCCGTCCGAAGACGCCTAGGGTGGCGAGCGAGTCGCTGGCCGAGTTGCCGCGGTGAACAGCCTGCCATGATAGGGTCCAATTGTGATGCTGGGCAATAAAGAACGCTCGCTCCATCTGGGCCTGCAGCCGGGTTCCAACAACTCTGGCATCTGAGAGCCTTCAATAGAGAGCAGAAAACCAACCTCAGAATAAGCACACCGACAAACGAAGCCGTTTAGTAAACGCACCCATGGCAGGGCTATTTTGTAATCGCCCGGAACCGCTTAGACGTCAATTATCGGGGTCGGGGCGGTTGGTTCTCCCTTCATTCGTCCCCTCCCCCCCTCAGGGCTCTGGGAAGGAGCTTCCCATGCGCTTCTGCATCGCCGCTACAGGAGAACAGAACACCGCCCCCCCATCCTCCTCGATCCTCGGTCCCCCTCTATCCTCGAACATCCTCCATCGTCGATCTTCCTTGAGCCTCAATACAGCCATCGTGCTACCTCAACTAAGGGACGCATAATAGGAAGCGAAGTGACTTGTCTGGCCACGGCGAACCTCGGCCACGCAGAGGCCCCTCAAGCAGAAATCTGAGGAGAGGCCCGAAAACCGTTGCCCCTCCTGAGCCCGAAGTGGTGCCTGTTTCGGCGTCTTTCGAATGGGGCCAGGGGCATCCACAAAACAAGCACAAATCCCAGGATTCCCAAGACGTGTTCATATATTATGGACGTCCGTCTTCCCCTCCACTTCTCATATTTTTCTAGATTTTCCGTGGACCCGTCGATTGTCAGATACCCTTAGACCCGTTGATTTCTCCTGCTGAGTCTTGACTGTACTCCCCGATCCTGCGTAGGAGGCGCGCGGTCCCGAGTAGTTCATGGCACCGATCGCGTGCGACAAGCAGCTCACCGACGCGGCCGCCGTGCCCTCCTGCACGTCCGCAGCCGCGTCCTGGCAACGCTATCCAGCAGGGGAAGGGCGCCTTCCCTCCCTCTGCTCCTCCTCGTCCTCTTCGTCCTCCTCCTCCTCCTCCCTATTGCTCGCTCTCGTCCTCCTCACTGCTCGTCCTCAATATGTTTGCAATTATCGTCCTAGTCGTCGTCCTCCTCCTCCTCCTCCTCCACCTCCTCCGCCTCCTGCTCTTCCTCCACCTCCTCCTCCTCCTCCTCCTCCTCCTCCTCCTCCTCCCCCTCGTAATCAGCATCAGCAGCGTCATCATCATCAACGCAATCATATTTAACATCCTCATCACCATCGTAAAAACATCATCCTCTTCCGCGTTCTCCTCCATATCCCTCCTCCTCCTCCTCTTGCTCTTCCTCCTCCTCTTCCTCCTCCTTCCACTCCTTCTATCCTCATCCTTCCCATCCTCCTGTTCCTCATCCTACCCTCCATCCCTCCTCCTCCTCCTCCTCCTCCTCCTCCTCCTCTTCCCCCTCCTCCTCGTCATCCTCATCCTCATCCTCATCCTCATTATCGTCATCATCATCATCATCATCATCATCATCATCATCATCATCATCATCATCATCATCATCATCATCAGCATCACCATCATCATCACCATCATCATCCTCATCCTCATCCTCATCCTCATCCTCATCCTCATCATCAGCATCATCAGCATCATCATCATCATCATCATCAGCATCATCATCATCCCTCTTGTCATCCTCAATTTTCCTCCCTCCTCTTTTTTTTTTTCTCTCTCTCTCTCTCTCTCGCAGGACCCTCAGCTGTTCGCAATCCGCGCCCTCGCGTGCACGGGCCCCCCCGGACACCACCGGGGGACCAGTTCCTGGGCCGAGGCCACCAATGAAGGGGGGAGATAGAGGGAGCGGCGGGGCCACTCAGTGGTAGGTGCAGGCGGCGCAGGGGACGGCGTATCTGCAGCGTAGTACACGACGTACCTTGTCCGTAGCGCTGAAGACGTTGCACGTCCCTCCACCAGTCGGCAGCCTGTGTCAGTATCGAAACACCGATTGTTGTAGCAGTAGTAGCCTCCTCCCTCCTCCTATTCGTGTATATTTCCGGGTCTTCGGGGAACATAACTTGCACCACGTTTGCCGACTTTCGGTCTGTATGGCGCAATCGGGCACCATCCGCTCCCATCACAATCTTGACTGACTGATTCTTGGCATGGCACGCTTCGAGCCCAGTCCGAAGGCGAATGATGGCAACCACACTGCCCAGCGCACCACAGGGATCAACTGAGGCAAACAATACAGGGTCCTATGAAGAATGTTTTTTAACTTTCTTTTGGACGCACTTTTGGGTACGTAGCAAATGGGCTCGCCGGCGCGGCCGCGCGGCGACGCCCGCGCCCGGCGTTTCCGAGGGCCCCTGCCAGCGGCCCCAGGTCGTACTTATGAGTGCCCGCCCAGCTCAAAAGTACAAGTGCCCGATCGTGCTACACATGCGTTCACAAGTACGGTTCGCGGGAGACTTCTCCAAACTATACTTTTGAGACGGCCTTTTCACAGGTGCCGCCCCGTACTTCTGAGCGCCCTCCCCCCTCCCCCGCGACGGGGAGGGGGTTCGGCAAGGGCGGGGGGGCCGAGAGGCCAGGGTAACGAGCGCATTTACGGTGGCCCTCCCACCCGCCCTGCGGCGACAGGCCGCTCGCAGTTTGGAGTTGTCCAAAGGACCCCTGCGCGCATAGAATGTGTCAATTGCTTTCCATTGGCTGGCTTGTTGGCTGCCTCGTTGGCTGCCTCTTTGGCTGGGTCGCTGGAGGCCTTTTTGGCTGGATTGTTGACTGCCTCGTTGGATACCTTGTTGGCTGCCTCGTTGGCTGCCTGGTTGGCTGCCTCGTTGGCTGCTTTGTTGGCGGCCTTGTTGGCGGCCTCGTTGGCTGCTTCACTAGATGCCTCGGAAGCACCAGGAAACAACATCAGAGGACGGAAGCGACTTCCCCGAGGGCTTAAAGACAGCAAACACACAACTTACTCTGGAAGCTCCACCACGTCGCGCCGTGGCCAAGAACAATGCATTAACATGTCGCCCGTTGTGTGATAAGGAAGGAATTCCGTATGTAATGCATGACTGTTAGATACCACTGCAGTTCGAACCACATTTTAATATGCACTTCCAGCGGTGGGACGGCGATTGTTTGCATGTTGTTCCTGGCCACGTGCGGTTGCACCTCCATTGCGACGCCATGTCGACGAATTGTCCCGCCCCTTGCATGTCAATGTTGACGTCGAACGAAACCCCCAATCTGGGTGGACAAGATACGGCAAGCCAACATCGAAACGTTGGGGAAGGGATTTTGCAGGACTGATTTGAACGGGACGGTGCTTGAACTCGGGAAAACTGGGCTGCGCTGAAGTGACCCTGGATGCGCCGGGTTGCCTCCGCTGTGCGAGCAAAGCAGAACAATGCTTCAGCGGGGCGAAAATTGGATCCGAAGTCGGGGACAACCTGGGGGAATTGCTTCGGTTGCGAGAACACATGGGGTAATTGATGCCGGGGTCTGGTAGACAATGGGACAATTTCCAAATTAAAAACCAATGGAATTTCGGACTAGGATCAACAGTTACAATTTTTTGATCCCGGACCGAGAGAAGTCGTTTCGAACAAACTTTACAAGGGGAGGGGGGCTGATGCCCTGTTGGTAACTCCAAGGTTCTTTGATATGACACATGAACCTTTGCCCCGCTGTATCATCGGCTTCGCCTGCGCCGGGCGAGCAGCGCAGCGCCCGAATCGCGCCTGGCCCGCGCCCATGCCGATCCTGGGCCGCTACGAAGACATGCGCGGCCCCGACAGCGCCAGGCGCTCCGTGGGCTACGCCGGGCAATGCTCAGGCATTGTGCCGAGCGTCGCCTGGCGCCACTACGCGGCCGCGCAGCGGGGCAGGGCGCGTCAATCGACGACGAGGTGGCACGACGCGCGCGGCGCTTGCATCTGGGTCTATTTGAATACTCCCATAATATTTGAATACGTTTTGAATACCTATTTGAAAACCTCCGTTTTGTGGAGGGAACAGATGTTGGCCTTCTGGGTAAAAAAGAGTCATATGTCATTTCAATTCCACTACTCGCGCGTTGCATGTGCAAATGGTATTACAATAAACATTCGACTGGGTATTCAAATCGTCTTACAACAACGCTGGCGCTTTCCAATAAGGAAATTGCATGCGCGGCGCGGGAGCGGCCACCTTGTCGTCGTCCGCCGCGCTGGGCAGGCCACGCGCGGGGATCGCCCAGGCAATGCCTGGCGCGCCGAGCCCGCGCAAGCCCGCGCAGCTCCGCCGCGCGGCCCAGGGTCGGCCGCTCGCGATCCGGGCGCAAAACGGGCGCGGCCCTGGCGCGGGCCTGGAGCCAGCCGGAAGGAAGTCATTGCCACTCTATAGCCAACTCCTGCCCTTCAGGGGTTCACGGCGGTTGAGCCGACGGGCCTCGCCCGAGCTCCCCGGCGCCGACATGGGCAAAAGGGCCCCGCGACAGCATGTTTCTCTCGGGAAAAATAAAAAGCAAGAAATTGCCCCCATCTGGCCGGTGGTCGGCTGGCACGATGTCCGGGCACCCAGCCGTGGCGACTGGGCATCAAGTTTGCATTTTCCACGCCACGTGTTCTCGGTGGCGGGCCGCAGCGGAAAGCCGACTGTTCGCGGCGTCGGCGGCCGCGCAGGGCGCGGGCCATCGCTCCTCGAATTCATTGACCTTGGCGCGCTGGAAGGCCTTGCAGCGCCAGCCCGTGGACTTCGCCAGCGGAATCCAGATGGCCTCGGGCACGCGCTGGGTGGCCCTCTTGAGGCGCGCCGCGAACTGGGGCCTGGTTTCCTTTCTAGCTGACGAGTAGGTGGCCTCCTGCTTGCGGAGGCCACGGCTGGCGCAATTCCAGAAGCCGCAATCAAACGGGTTGACGTCTGGCGAGCGTTTCGGAAACTGCAGCGCCTCGATGGAATTATCGACCTTGGTGTGCACTGCGCCCCTTGGACTTGCACCCCGATGGGGTCGCCGCCCTCCAAAGCAAAACCATGGAACGCCCCTTGCCGGGGCACGCGCGGCGCAGCGCTGGCGACAAGGACTTCGAATGCATCGTCGACGCCTCCGCGGCGTTCCACTGCTTGGGGGCTCCCCGCGCAACCAGAAAATCGGTCACCTGCTTTTGCTGGCTCCGCAGGGTGCCAAATTCATCGGCGCGCGCGCTCAGGGTGGCCGCCAAGTTAGAAGCCTTCTTGGCTGCCTCGTTGGCTGCCTTGCTGACAGCCTTGTTGGTTGCCTCGTTGACTGCCTGGTTGGCTACCTTGTCGGCTCCTTCGTCGGCTGCTTGCCCACTGCCAGTCTTCTTGGCTCGCAACTTGCCACGTTGACAGCCCTCTTGGCTGCCTCGTTGGCTGTCTTGTTGGCACCCTTGTTGGCTGCCTTGTTGACAGCCTTGTTGGCTGACTCGTCGGCTGCACTGTCTGCCAACTTGACAACTTTGCTGGCTACCTCGTCGGCTGCATCGTCGGCTACATTATTGGCTGCCGCGTTGGCTGCCGTGTTGGCTGCCCCGTTCGCGGCCTCCTTGGCTGTCTCGTTGGCAGCCTTTCTGGCTGCCTCGTTGGCTGCCCTGCTGGCTGCCTCGTTGGCTACCCTGTTGGCTGCTATGTTGGCTGCCTCAGTGGCTGCCTCCTTAGCGGCCTCGTCGGCTGCCTCGCTGGCTGCCCCGTTGGCTGCTTCGTTGGCGCTAAGGCAAGCCCCGCAGAGTCCCATGGGTGAATGAATCTTTTGAGCGCACTTTTGGACGCGCGTTTGGGCACGTGGCGAATGGGCTCGCCAGCGCGGCCGCGCGGCGACGCCCGCGCCCAGCGCTTCCGAGGGCCCCTGCCAGCGGCCCCAGGTCGCATGTTGGGGCGCCCCCCCCCCCCCCCCCCCCCTGCTCAAAGGCGCAATTGCCCGATCGCACTTTCGAGGCGCGCCATCGAGAGCGCGGTTCACCAAAGACTTCTGCAAGTTATA